TCTCAGACTTAGTTTTTTTTAAACTCTTTGATACATCCTTGTGAGTAGTACGATGCAAAAGGACACAACATGGATAAAATTGGCATGCACACCTTCATCCAATTTCACATTTATTGTACACCAAATGCGAAATATAAGCCCAGATGAGATAAATATTAGCCCATGAAACAGAATTCATCATAGAAGAAAGTCTACCGAATTTAATGAATATTTCAGATAAAACAATAACTGCAATATATATATTGCAGTCGATTAAAGTTTTAAGCTACCTCAAAGCAGTAATATTCTCCTGATTTCACTTACTCCTTCCGTTAGTTCATTCACTAAATATTATAAACATAGACAAATGAAAATATAGACAACGACAAGTGTTTTTTTTTTTCTTATTTTATTCTTTTTCACGCTTTTTATACCCTCCACCATAGTATGGAGCGTATATTAAGTTCGTCATTCCGTTTGTAACACCTCGAAACATACATCGTATACCCCACAAAGTATATATATTATTGAACAGCATAAAATTTTAAGTCGATTTAGCGATGTCCGTCCGTATGTCAGTCTGTGGAAATCACTCTAGCTTCAGAACGAAATGATGTTGGTTGATAAAATCTTACACAAATATATATTATGTCTGCAGGTATTGAAAAATGTCCATGTAGGTCCAAGTTTTGGTACAGCATGGTACTTCCCGATATTCGATATTTTGCTGATTTTAGCGACATCCACCAGAATTGTTTCATATTTGATATTTGAAATTCGCAATGGACGTTATAGCCGAAAAAAGAAAATTGCCTGCGCAGGTCCACATCTTCGTATAGCCCCCATATAAAGGTACCTCCCGATATTCGGTAATTTGATGATCTTAGTGATATTTTTTACCGGAATTGTTTCAAACTTTGGTATTTGAAATTCGTAATGGATACTACAACCTGAGACAGAAAAATGTTTGCGCAGATCCACGTCTTCGATCCTCCTCCTCCCGATATTGGGTATTTTGATGATTTTAGCGATATTATTCACCGGAATTATTTAAAAAAAATGTTAGTGTGAGATTTGATTAAAACACAAAAGGTCTTGTTGTTAAGGAAAAAATTATTGGATTACGGGTGAAGTGATGGAAAATGATTGTTCGATTCGATCAATGCAGACCATTGATATGCATCTGGCGTTTTCAAGTCCAACAAGGCCTATAACATACTTACATTCATTGGATTTATTTTTCTTATAAGTATAATATATATAAAGAGGTTACAAGTTTTTATTACAAGGAAAAATATTTGTAGAATCATAACTGTCATAAATTGGAATCGATGACCCAAAAACACGAAATCAAAATATAAATAACGAAATCAAACGAAATCAAAATAGACTAGAAGTATTGAAAAAAATCGACTGGTGCGTTCTAACTTCTTGCCGTATCAACTATAATAGTATATTACATGAATCTACTTTTCTGATCCTACCAAGCTATTTGATCGATGTCAAGTTATTTTTTTATTGGACTCTGCCCTCACTCCAATTTCTTTCACGACTCTATATATTATTCACGTTTTCCGTATTCCGGAGGAATAATATGAAAATATTTACCTCTTACACCAAAAAACCATTCATTTTGAGGTTTACAGAGAAGGATATTAGTAAAACCATTGCACAATGGACTCACATCCAATTTTTCTGTTCAAAAGTATTTCAACGTCTCCATATGTAAACCCTAGAAACCAATGGTAACCTCAATATAAAATTTATAAAAAAATAAGCTCTATACGTATAGCAACAGTGACTTTATTATTAAATTTCAGTTCTTTAATATCTATAATTACTAAATTTAGTACTTTACGAATTTTTTTTACGAAAAATTTATAGTACGCATTTCTGAAAACAGCTCTTTCTCTCAACCACAGACACCAACAGTGATATACAAATACCAAATATAATACTACTTAGTACTTTACTAACAACTATATCATGAATTTCCAAACCCACTTCCATATCTTATCCACAGGTACCAATAGTTTTATTCATATTAATATCCGAGCTGAAAAGCTCTATTCCATTACCCAATACCAAATTTAGTACAACTTTGTACTTTCGAACAATTTTCGTACACATTTCCAAAACTACCTCTAAATATCAATCGCAGATACCAAACTCGGACTCATACAAGATTTTTTTACCCCAAATAATACTATTTAGTATTTTTCGTACTTTTTTTAGTACGCATTTCCAAATTTCCCGCCTTGTATCTCAATCCAAATTTCAGATTTCCACCTTTTTTTCTTCCTCAAATAAATATTTAGTACTTTGCGTACTTTTTAGAACACAATCCCAAATTCCCCGCCTTGTATCATCCAAACCGCACTAGAGGTGATTCTAATGCCTACGTTTAGACTTCTACTTTAGTTCCTTACCCAAATGCAAAATTTAGTACAATTTAGTACTTTTTTAGTAGGTATTTCTAAAACCTCATCCATATCTCAACCCCACACACTAACAGAGACCCTAATACTAACATTTTACATTTCCAAATCAATCTATTTAATAAAACCAAATTGTATTGTATAATATAGTACCCTTAAGTACAGTCGTTAGCCTTAGTACACTTTTTCAAAAACACCTAAAAAACCAAACTCCTTCTAAAGTTTCCCTTTCCTTACAGTTATGTGCATGTTATATGCCCTTTCCTTACTGTTATAGTTCCTCAAAAAAACTTTCACTCACAATACACGGAGCTCAATTTTGTTGGATCCTCACGCCTTTATTCAAGATTTTAGTCCAGGAAACCGAAAAACTCACTCGTATTTGTAAGAAGAGTAAAACTCACTAGAGTTCGAGCGAGTGAAAGCAGAAACAAAAAATCGAGAAAACTCATTTTTTTGACTTCGCTGGAATACATGCGAGCATATTTTCCTAGATTTTAATGGGAGCAAAATTCCTTCAAAATCGAGCAGATTTTACTCTTGCCGAGCAGTCTTTTAGTTTTTGCTACACAATATCACCTCCCTCTCTTTGCACACACAGGCTGAGCTGTTACCCATACATTCACACACAAATCAGAAAACAATAAGGGCTGTAGATCTCTTTGGACCAAATCCGTTTTAGGACATTTTTTGTCGATCTAGCGGTGTCCGTTCGTCTATCTGTCTGTCTGGCTGGTGCGCACGAAAACTCTCACAGGGATATCCGATTTGGTCCAAACTTGGTACATCGTAAAATTACTGTCAAACTTAGATCGGTATCGGTCAAATTCATCATGTACCTACCCCACAAAGATCAAAATTTTGAATAATTATAAGTCGTATAAAATGAGATATAAGGGTCCGTCTTCTTGTTTTCAAATTACACACATCACAACATTATTGAACCAAGGTCTGGTGTGAAGATATTCGGTAAATGTTGAAAATGAGCTCGGGATAAAGCTATTGAAATTCCAAAAAGTGCAAGAACTTCCACCGCAACAGAAAGAAAATAGGCTCAAAAGAGCTAAAGAGTTGCTTCGCTTGGCCGAAAGTGATGAACTGCCGAATTTGGTTTTCTCCGATGAGAAAACATTCGTTGTCCAGCAGTTTGTAAACAAACAAGATGATCGTGTTTACTTGCCAAAGAGGTCAACTGAAAATGTGCACCTTGGGTTGGCCACCAGAATTCAAGCGCAAGCGCCAGCTATGGTGATGGTGTGGGCCGCCGTAACAGCGGATGGTCGCTCTTCGCTCGTATTAATCGACCGTGGCATCAGAATAAATATTCTGGGGGGTGTATTAAAGCCATGGGCACGCAAACATTTTAGGCCCAGACCTTGGACATTCGAACAGGACTCAGCACCATCATGAATGGTTACAGAATGAGGTTCCAAGCTTTATTTCCAGCGCACAATTGCCACCAAAATTCCGGGTACCAATCGGTTGGACTATTGTGTCTGGAGTATTTTGGAAAGCAAGGTTGGCACTAAAAAATACCAAAGTGTCGATCACCTCAAGCAAGCGCTTCGCCGGGAATGTGCCAAAATACCGTAGAGCAACATTCGGGCATCGTGTGACTGTTTCATTGGTCGTTTGAAGGCCATAATTCGTGCAAAAGGTTTACCAATTCGAACAAATCTAAACTTATTCTAAAATTTGTGGCTATTTCCGACATTTTTTGCTTTCATTCAATAAAATTTTAAAAAAAAATGTGAAAATTCTTGCGTTTGACTTTGTTGCACTTTTTTATCTCACCCTTTATATGTTACCTCGAGCGCATTACAACATTTTCCAAAATTATCACAAATCTAATGTAAAGTAAAGGATGTAGTCGATATAGTCCAAATCTGCCACGTTGTAATATTTATATCAGACATAGGACGAGTGGAAAAGACTTAAGTCTGTTATAAAATGGACATTATTGGACTACTCTTTCGAAACCATTTCAAGCCAGCAATCAAAATATACATTTAATAAAGTGGTCATTGACTGTGAGTATACATCTGTCGACAGAACCGATTAATACTTTTTAACTTCTTTTTCAATCCTAGAACAAACTCTTGCTCTATTTTGAGTGACTCTGCTTCGCCTCTAATTTTTCAAACAGGAGTGACTCCGTAAAAAACTGCTCGCGAGTAAAATTTAGCAAATCTGTGCTCTGTTTTAGACCGAAAAAAAAACGCAAATAACATTTCAATAAAAACGCCCAAAAACATTTACATATTTGGTAATTATTCTTTTTATTGATAATAAACGGCAGAAACAAAACGAAATTTCTTGTGAAAATAAAAGCCCTGAATTATATATATTTTTTTGTGTAACTCATTTTTTTGTTTTGTTTGTTCGTCATTCTTTCATTTTTGTTACGGTAAAAAGGTTATAATAAGCAGTTGTTGGTTGTTGGTTTTTTTTTTTTTTGTTTTCTCAGTTGTTGCATCGATAACTAGGTTTAGATAATGGCTTAATTCTAAGGGGGGAAATAGGGGATATAGGCCGAGCAAAAAGTGTCAGTTTTGTTTTAAAAATGGGGAGTTTTTTTATATCTTTTGGGGGGAGCGGGGCAAGGGCAAAGGGTTTTTGGAACAAGTGTAAATAGGTTAAGAGTAAATACATGAAGCAGGTGCGGTGGCTTTGGTTTATTTTTACTTTTGGTTTTCTTTTTTTAATTTTCATAGCGAAAATGTTTTTTTGTTTTTTCTTCCTTAAATTTTTTGTATTTTTATGTTGTTTGTGTAAAATATTCACCAATCAATGTAGTTTGTTTTATAGATATTGGCTAATAAGATAATTACCTGTTTTTTTGGTTGTTGTCTGTTTTGAATAAATTCCAAATTATCCAATTAGAAAGCAAAGAGAAATAAAAACACAATTTCTAATAGTTTTTTTGTTGGTTTTTATATTTATGCAAAATATTTCAAAAGAAGAAGAACACAAATACTTTTTTCTTGTTGTTGTGGTGGTTAAATGTGTTTGGTTGTTTGTTTTTTTTTTTTTTTTTTGGGGGGGAAAGGGCGAATTTTGTTTTAACTAATCGGAGATGATTTATTTTTGAGAGAAAGGAAAACAAACAAGGTTTGAAAGGTTTGTAACAGATTTCTAGGTTTCTGAGTTAACGGATCAGGGGGTTTGTATTTTTTTGAAACATTTTACATTGAATGGTTGTTGTTGTTGTTGTTGTTGGTTTTGTGGTTTTCTTTTTGAGGGGTTCTCTTTCATTTATTATAATTATTAAATATATTTTTTGTTTGTTTAGCGTACAATTATTGTTGCAATTACAATTGTCTTGAGTACATTTATATATAAGATTTTTTTTTGGTTTTTATTTATTTTTTATTATATATATTTTGTTGTTGTTGTTGTGTATGACTTACATAATGTAAAAGTAAACGAAACGAAATTGGAAATGATAATTTGTTTGTTCATTAGTATTATTATTATTATTATTATTATTATTATTATTATTATTATTATTATTATTATTATTATTATTATTATTATTATGTTTCTTTTATTTATATACGTTAAATTGTTTACGTTTGTCTTTTTTTTATTTATTTTTTGTGTAAAGTTTTTTCTTCTTGTTTTTTTATTTATTTATTATTTTTTATTTAACGCAGGACGGGGTTTTTATCTTGTTTTTCCTTTTTTGCTTCATCATCTCATTTTGCATTTTCAATTTTTTTAATTTTTTTGACATTTTTTTATAAGATTTTAATCTAGGTTTTCTTTTGTTTTCTCTTACATTCATGCTAAGTTTTACATAAATATTTTTTGTTTTTTCTTTTTTTTTTTTTTTGTTGTTTGTTGCTGTTAATAAATTTGAAATGATTAGATGATTTAAGCATAATAATTTTTGTTGTTTTTTGTTTTTTGGTTGTTGTTGTTTCTTAGAGATTCATCATTTGGTTTTTGTTTGACTAGTTTTTATAATACGTTCATTTTTGTTGTTGTTGTTAATGTATTATGAAATAAGTTGTTGTGTGTTTTTTTTTTTTGTGAATGTAGTTGTGTCAAGGATTTTACAAAACATTTGCATACTTTGCTGAATTTAGAAAAACAATTTTGAAATTTAATGATATGGGCTCAGAATTGTAGTGTGAAAGAGAGAGCACATACATTGTAAAGAGAACTTATGGGACTTCGAATTAATTTTAAGCCAAAGTTTCAACTAAAAATTAGTCGGAAAATTAAAGGATATTAGAGAGACTTCCAAGAAAGCTAGTTTCAAATTATTCTGGAGACTTTTTTCTATGGGAAATTTTTTCTTCTCCCTGGAACTTGTTCCTTTTCATCGAAATGTCTCAGCTAAAGGGTTGCTTTATTGGAAGATTACTTTTTTTGACTCTGAAAAAAATAATTTCTTTAACGGCTGATACATCAGATCTGGGCAAGAAGGAAAACCTTAAGATGCAGAAATTTACCTTTCTTTCATAAAAAAAAAATCACTGACAGAAAATTTAATTTTTTTTCTATGAGAATGACAGTCCCAGAGAGGATACCTTCAAAAAGGATTTGAAGTTCTTGGGACCGATTTCTTGCCAGAGAAGAAAATTCTTCAGTCCTGCCAGGAGACTGACTTCCTTATATAAAATTGTCCGGCATGGCTGTTTTCTAAGGAAATATTATGCGGATTTATGAAATTAATATTTGTTCCAAAAAATCCATAAAAACTTATTGTCTATCAATAAACTTTTCCGGTCTCAGGCAAATTTTTCTTCTCCCTGATACTTGTTCCTATTCAACGAAATGTCTCAGCTAAAGGGGTGCTTTTTATTTGAAAATTACCTTTTTTGACTCCGCAGAAAATAAAAAAATCCCTGCAGAGGATTTAGTTTTTTTTCTGTAAGAAAATGGGTTAAGGTCCTTTAAAAAGGGGTTAAGGTCCTTGGGACTGATTTCTCACCAGAGAAGAAACTGCTTCAACCCTGCTAAGAGACTTATGTATGAAACTGATATTTGAATTTGCAAAAAAACCCATAAAAACTTATTTTCCGTCGAAAAACTTTATCGGCCTCAGACAACTGCATTTTCTACAAAAACGACGTTTTTCACAAAGTTCCGAAAATAGTTGGAGAACTTTTCGCCAATATTATGCAGCAAAGCATATTTGTTGTTTGTCTTCAGTGGCCCACATTAAAAGTGGCGCATTATGACAAAATATTGGTGGAAGCCAAAAAATTTCTTCTATAATTCTTCTTCGCTCGACTCAGTTCATTTACGAGAATGTCTCGCCCAATTTACATTTACATTTTTTTATTGAATTTTTTCCCAGAGAAATCTCTCTAGACTTAAATTATTTCCGAGATTGTGGCGCCCAATTTAAATTTACATTTTTTTGTTGGATTTTTTGTCCCTTGTAATAAATGGGATCATAAATATCTCTATGTGCCAGAACTTTGTCTTTCAATCATAGAAAAAAATCCACTGACAGAGAATTAAGTTTTTTTTTTATAAAAATTGCCGACCCAGGGAGGATACCCTTAAAAAGGGTCATCGGGACTTACTTTTTGGCAAAGAAGAAAATTCTTCAGCCCTACTAGAAGACTGACTTCTTTATGTAAAAATTTCCGGTCATGGTTGTTTTCTATTGAAAAATTATGCGGATTTATGAAACCGATATTTGTTCCAAAAAATCCATAAAAACTTATTTTCCCTCGAAAAACTTTCCTTGTCTCAGAGGGCTGCATCTCCCATAGAATCGGCCTTTTTCAGAAAAAAAATCTTGCCAAGGAAATTTCAGAAAAATTGTATTCTTCAGCCCTTGGTAGCAACCATGCCTTTAAGGAACTGTCTTCTTAATATGGAAAAAATGCTATGGAACAAGCTTTCGTTATAGAAAAAAATTATCATTCCAAATTAAAGCATCTTTTTATACAAAAGACTTTGGGAATAAAGAGCTGACTTCCCGCATTGTCGATTTTAATAAAAAAAATCCCTGCAAAAAGCAATTATTTTTCTATCTCTAAAAATGCCACAGATATGATTTCTTTAAGGAGACAAATTTTAAACTCCCAAAGCAGGTTTTTTTGGTACAGAAAAATTGCTCAATATCTTACTGTACAAAAAAAACCTTAGACTTAGGAGAATATTTTTTTCTTTTAGATTATTCCATGTTTCTATAGAACAGATTTCTCAGTTACGGTTAAATAAGTTTTTTAATAATCTCAGTCATATTGGGGTGGCTATTCCATAGTCCATATTGGACCTTATTTTTCCAATAGAGAAAATTACTTTTTAATTTAGAGTTAATCATCTCTGGCAAATAATGTCGATTTTATACTCCAAAATTAAAGGGATTTAAATTTGTTCCAAAAAGTAAAGCATTCTCCCCATTCATAATTCCTTAATCCCGTTTTTTATAGAAAAATTAACCAGTGTCAGATACTAATTTTTTCCAGATAAATTGACACTGTCCTTTCAAAAAAAAAAAAGAAAATTCTCCATCGATTGCCTCCGAGTCACACAAAAAGAATTTGTTAAAAAATCACACAGCAAAGTAACTTTTGTTTTCTTTTTCAATAAACAATTCATAGTATTGCAGAGGGAAATTTGTTTAAATTTTGTGTCGATAGCTTTTCAATTAATACATACATATATTTTACACAATAAATAATTAATTCTTTTTTTGTAGTTAATTTTATGAGTAAATAAATAAATAAATATTAACCTAGGTAATTTTAATAATTAATGTCTTTCAGATTTTAACTTTTACAAAGAAAATATACTTTTTTAGTTGAAAAATCTATTCGAAAAGTGTTTGAGAGTAGAAGAGAGACATTGGACATGGGAGGCATTTTCCATATGACCTTCTGTTTAGAGAAATAGTCAGCAATGCTCATCTGGAGAGACTATCCTTATATCCAAGGTATGCTACAAATTGCCTTATTTTTTAAATCTATGACATTGAAAATATCCTGGATAGTTTCAAAAATATTTATGTTAGATATTTTTTCACCAATATTATGCAGCAAAGTACATTTGTTTGTCTTTAATGGCTCTAGATTAATAATTGCAGAAGATGACAAAATGTTGCCAGGGAGCCACAAAATGACATTAATTAATATCCAAACAAATCTCTCTCATTTCCGAGATTGTGGCGCTCAATGTACGTTACATTTTTTGTCGGAAAATTTTCACCCTTGCATTAAATGTCAATCATAATCTTCTCTTTAGGACATCTCTGAGAATGTGGCGCCCAATGTAAATTACATTGCATTTTTCTCTCTTGTTTGTTTTTTCTTCTCGAATCGTAATTTTCCCTTTAGGAAATATATTTTTTAAATATTTTTCTTTGTGAAAATGTCTTAAAAATAAATATAAATTATAACAAAAATTTGTTTAATACAATTATTTACTTGTGTTTAAATGTACAAAACTTAAGATGAACTGATATGACGGTAAGCTTCATAAGTTGTCAATTTTGTGTAAATAAAATAAAAGTATTTTGCAAAATATTTTATTAAAATGGAAAACAAAGGGAAAGACGAGCTGATAAAAAAGGATATGTGAAGAGATCATGCCATGTATCACTAAGAGCTAAGAAAATGAAAAAAATTCTAGAGATTCTCAAAGGAAAGGACTCTTTTCTATCAAAGATTTAAACAAATTGGATTTACTGATCCTGGAGGTTCAAGATATGAAACTCATAATCCGTTGAAAAAAAAAAAATTAAAACTTCCATCGGTGTCCATCGTACCAAACGTTTTATCTCTATGCCTCTCCCATAAACTGCCTCACTGAGCTTTTGGACCTCTATGTTCCTAGCGGAAATGGACTAGTCATCTAGAGCAGCCTTGCTCACAATATATACATTAGAAGTGGTAAGAGACTCTCTGGCCTGGCAATTTGAGAGATATTTTGTGAACTTTTCGAGGCTGCTCAAGTTAGGCTAGCCAACCGCTACCAACACGAAAGCTTTGATTGTGTATATTTCTCAGACGTGAACATCGAGAGAGTAACTCCCCCTCTCCCACTAACTTTAAGTTAACAGTTAAGCCAGAGTAGGGCAGAAAATGTTCTTCCAATTCTATTCATCACCGATTACATTGGGTGAGTGTGGAGAGAATTTCGCATGTGGAGAGCACAAGCGCCTGCATTTGCCCGACATTGCTTCAAATCAGGGACGGGGCCTTCAATGAACGCAATTCTCTTCACATCCTCAATCAGAAATTGGGAGAATTTAAGAGTGAGACTCTCTATGCGGTACTATTTAAATGACTATGAAATCACCCATACATTCTCATTAACATTGTTTTTTTCTAACACCCTTTTCGGGTTCTCTAACGATCTGTGGAATCGACTGTGTAGACACGACCGGGACTAAATCATTGACATGCAAAACAGGCACGAGTGCCTTCAAATGAGAGTAATTCTCTTCACAACCACAATCAGAAATTGGGATAATATAAGAGTGAGACTCTCTACGCGGCCCTGAATTAAATGACTATAAAATCGCCCATATATTCTCATTAACATGGTATTTTTTCAACACCCTATTCGGGTTCTCCGTAGGCCATAGATCAACGATCAATGGAATCGACAGTATGACAATAACTTCCTCTGTTTCGCCTTCTCAAGGGAAACTAAATCATTGCCATGCAAAAGCAGGCACGCGTGCCTTCAATGAGAGTAATTCTCTCTACACTCACAATCTGAGCCATTGAAAAACAAAGTAACCAGAGAGAACATTAAAGTGCGACTCTTTATCCAGCCTGGACCTATATAAGTAAAGAGACAATACCTGTACTTCAGGTACCTCAATGAATCTGCTATATATCTCGAGAGATTTAAAGGTGATACATGAAACTCGTTGGGATTTCCAAAGAACAGCTATTTTCCCTTTCCGAGACGCTACGATGGCCTAAAAGTTTTAGGGGAATGAAAGTATTAAAAATCCCTTCTGAATTTAAGGTGGCATACTTCAAGAAAAGAGCGTCTGTGGGCACTCGGTGAGAGCACACACTAGCAATTACTCTTTTGCTTGTGTTCTCGCCACTGAGTTTCTTTTAGTGGATTTCAATTTTAGCAATGCATTAATGGCATAGTGCACATTTGTCAAGAGATTATTGATGTTATGATAAGCATATCCAGCTCTACGACATGGTATGGCATGACATGACCTTTTCATTGACCCTTCTTACCCTTCAAATTAAAAAAAATTAACTAAATCTGTATTTCCATTAAATTTTAGTTGACTTAAGTTTTGTGTTTTGATTTTCATGTTTGTTTCTCTTCTTTCAGAGCTTTGCTTTTGAAGTTTTCTTTCTCCTAGCCAAGGTGTAACAAAGTCTGAAGAACCATTGCAAAGTTTGTATTATAGCGTATTTTTGTTGCTGTTATGCTTTGTTATTCTGAGTTCTTTTATTTATGATTTTTTTGTGTTTTAGTTGTCTAGAATAGCAATTCTGGTAATTTTATTTTTTATTCATCATTTTCATTCATCATTCATTTATTTGTTATGTTTCTTGTCATAGCTTAAAAGCGTTTTGAGTAGTAAGCTGCTCGTTAATGTTTTTTTATTTTTTTATTTTCATTAGTTTAAATATATAGTTTTTAATCTGGGAGTTGTTTTATTTGCATTTGGAATTTATTTTCAAGAAGAAATGAAGAAGGAATCGAAGAAATAAAATTGAGAAAAATTTGGAGAGTTTGACATTTGGAATGGGGGCCAGAAAATTCCCTGGCTTGGAAATATGAATTTCAATCCCAATATTTGCCTTGGGCCCATTCCTGACAGCAAATCTCTGTTGTTTCTTATTTACCGTTACACTCTTAAATAGACTTCTTCCCTTCTGTCTTTCTTTTTTTTCTGTTGTAGGAAATAATAATTTATTTTTATTTTTTTTAATAATAATATTTTTTCTTTTGTTGTTTTACATTATGTTTTTGTTGTAGACTTAAAACTAAGTTGTTGTTTTTTATACGAGATTTATTTTTGTTTTTTTTTTTTTTGCATTACACACAATCAATGATTCATTACTTTTTTGGTTTTGGTTTTCCTTAGTATCTCTCTAAACAAGAACGACGTTTAATGTTAGTAAAAGAAAATATCTTTGTTGTTGTTGTGGTTTATTTGAAAAAAATTTCCATCATTTTTTGGTTTGTTAAATTTAGTTTTGTTTTGAATGTTTTGATGTTGCATGGAGTGAATGAGAATTATTGTGTAAGTGTGAGGGGAGATTTCTGAAATTGCTTAGCTTTCAAATATCATTTTTTTTTCTCTTATTGTTGTTGTTGTATATATGTTTGTTGTTTTTGTGTAAATGTTTACTTAACAGCAGTCCTCTGTTAGTTTACATTAAGATATCCTATTGTTTGTTTGGTTTTTGTTTTTTTTTTTTGGGGATCAGAGCCTGGGAAGGGGTTTAATAGAGTTTTGTCTGGTTGTTTTTATTGTAATTATTGTAAGATTTTGTTTTCATAAAAAGTTCTTGGGGTTCTTTTTGGTTTTTCTTTTTTTGTTAAATATTCATCGGAATAATTTGTTGTTGTTGTTGTTTTAATTATAAGTAATTAAGTGTGTTGTTGTTGCTGTTTGTGTTCTGTTAATTTTTCTGCAGATGTTTACTCTTTTACTTCAAAATATTTGTAAGTGGGATTTTCGTAGCCATTGATTTGCATACTCGGCACGATTTTCTCTTCGGGGACCACAGGATGATGGGCGGCGGCATTCTGCAAAAAAAAACAAAGAAAATTGAATTAAATAAAAACATTTCCAGAACTAATAGAACTAAAAATCTAAAATATGGAGGTCGTTCGTTCAGAGTTAAGTGTGGGAGTTTTGTTTTAGTTTTCTAGAGGATTATCTATAGTCCTGATAATCCTCTACAAAATTAAAACAAAATCGTGAATTTTTTAAAAACATTTAATGAGGGATAGTCAAGGCCATTGCCAGGCCAATATTTTTGGATTGTTTTTTTAAAAAAAGTTCTGAAAGACTACAAGGGCTATATTCGTAGATGCAGATTCAGGGCCATTCTTTGAAACTTTTGAATTGAATTTTTTGATTAAATTTTATGAATGCATATTTTTTCATTAGGATTTTTAAAGAGCAAAAATTGGCTACTTTATAGTGACCATAACCCCTTAAATATTGACATTACGGAGTTTTAGCGATTTTTATTCATTGCAAATTTTAAAGATGAAATATAGCCTATATGGTGGCTATAACTCCTTAAATATTGACAAATTTTATGAAGGCCTATTTGTGGATTTTTTAATAAAATTATATGAAGGACTATCTCAGCCATTGTCGTAGATTATTGAATAACATTACACTCATCATAACATATAACCTCCACCATTTTATGGAGGGTATATTAGCTTTGTCATTCGGTTTGTAACTCCACGAAATATTCATAATAGGTCCTACAAAGTACAGGGTGAGATGAAAAAAAATGCAACCAACATCAGACGGCTGTCATTTCTAAGCCGCTCGTCCGAAAGCTGACAGCTCATTATATTGTTTATAAGCGTTTAAAAGCATTTTGGTGAGAATTTTCCAGAAAAAATAGTTATTCGTGATGGAATTCAAGCGTGATAGTGTGATTTCTTTATATTTGGCTAGAAAAACGCAAGTGGCTATCGTTAGAGCACTCCAGCATTTAAGTTTGAATAAATCTTTGGGTCTCGTACCATCGTTCATTACCGTGATACTGGTAGCGTAGCCCGGCGTCAAGGAAGTGGGCGGAAGAAAAAAGGCAACATCAGCAGAATAGTTCGAAAAGTTAAGAAGCGACTTGATCGAAACCCGCGTCGCAGTGGCCGAAAAATGGCTCGTGTGCTAAACATATCGCAATATTCCTTTCTGCAAATATTGAAAAATGAGCTCGAAATAAAGCCATTGACATTCCAAAAAGTGCAAGAACTTACACCGCAACATAAAGAAAATAGACTCAAAAGAGCTAAAGAGTTGCTTCGCTTGGCCGAAAGTGGTGAACTGCGAAATTCGGTTTTCTCCGATGAGAAAACATTCGTTGTCCAGCAGTTTGTAAACAAACAAAATGATCGTGTTTACTTGTCAAAAAGGTCAGCTGAAAATGTGCACCTTCGGTTGGTCACCAGAACTCAAGCGCCGGCCATGGTGATGGTGTGGGTCGCCATAACAGCCGATGGTCGCTCTCAGCTCGTATTTGGCATCGACCGTGGCATCAGAATAAATACCGAATATTATTGCGAAAATATTCTGAAGGGTGTATTAAAGCCTTGGGCACGCAAATGTTTTGGCCGCAGACCTTGGACATTCCACCAGGACACATCATCATCGCACTCAGCACGCGCCACCCAAGAATGGTTACAAATGAGGTTCCTCTCTTCATTTCCAGCGCACAGTGACCACCTAAATCTCCGGATACCAATCCATTGGACTATTGTGTCTGGAGTATTTTGCAGAGCAAGGTTGGTAATAAGAAGAATACCAAAGTGTCGATCGCCTCAAGCAAGCGCTTCGCCGGGAATGCGGTAAAATACCACAGAGCAACGTTCGGGCAGCGTGTGACGGTTTCATTGGCCGTGTGAAGGCCATAATTCGTGCCAAACTTGACTAATTCGAACAAACCTAAATTTATTCTGAAATTTGATGCTATTCCCGACATTTTTTGCTTTCATTCAATAAAATTAAAACAAAAAAATAAAAATTATGGTATTTGACTTTGTTGTAGTTTTTTTATCTCACCCTGTATATTCTTGACGTCTTCTAGGGCCTATGTAGAAGAATTTGATGACATACAATTTTGTAAAATATTTTGATCTGCTATGATCCCAAAAAGGTGAGATTTTGTCAGATTAGTTGATCGGATCATTGCCATTATCGATTAGGAAATTTATGAATCGATTAAGAAAATTTATCCTAAAACTAGCAGAGCTCCATTTGAATTAATAACTTTTATCAACTCTAGTATCCTGGAGATAAATTTCAAGAATATTTTTCTCAAGGAATATCAGAAAATATTCGAAAATTATTTTCAAAACTAAAATTCTTCACTTTTTAGAATATTTTTTTGGGAAATTCAAAAACGTCTTTAGGAGTTCCTTTAAGGACTTTCAGGTATTTTTTTAGAATTCATCTTTCAAGGACTTTATAATAAATATCATGAATATTTTTTCAAGGAGTATCAGGAAAAATTTCGATATATTTATTAAGGATTCTTTTAATGACTCTTAGACCTATAAACGTAATTTTTCAAATATATCTACAATATTTTTTTCAAGGAGTATCAGGAAAATATCTTTTTATAGGATTCTATTAAGGACTTTTAGGGGTATAATCGTTGATTTTTCGAATATTTTTTTAAGGACATAAGAGAATTTAAAAAAAATTCTCGAGAAGTATCAGAATAATATCTGCAATATTTTTCTCAAGGAGTATAAGGAAACAAATTCATTTTATAGGATTCCATTAAGGACTTTCAGAGGTATAATCGTTGATTTTTACGAATATTTTTTTAAGACATTAGAGAATTTTAAAAAAATCTGGAAAAGTATCAGAATAATATCTGCAATATTTTTCAAATGACTACCTTAAGGAGTTTATTATTTTTTATTATTTAAAGTTTTTTTTTTCAAGAAGTATCAGAAAAAAATCAAAAATATTTTTTAAGGATACCTTTAAGGAATTTGAGAGTTATAATCGCTGATTTTTTAGAATATTTCTTTGGAAATTCAAAAGTGTACTTCATGAATTAACTTAAGGACTTTGAGAGCTATAAATGTTAATTTTTAGAATTTTTTCCAAGGACTATAAAAAAATGCACGGATGTTTTTTCCAAGGAGTAGCAGAAAAAATTCAAAAACATTTTTAAGGATTCTTTTCAGGACATTTAGAACTATAAACGTTAATTTTTAGAATATATCTACAATATTTTTTTCTCAAGGATTATCAGAAAAAATAATGAATACAATATTCCTTTAAGGGCTTTTAGAGATATAATTTTGAAGGTTCTGTTTGCAGGATTCTTTTTTGTAGCATAATATTTTAGAACATATTTTTAAGGATTATATGAGAAATTTAAAAAAGAAATGTTTTCGTGTCAGAATAATATCAAGACTTCCTTGAGGACTTTCAGAGTTATAATCGTTGTTTTCTCTATGACAATTCAAGTCAAGATTTTGAAGAAATAGTGGCACAATAATTTCAACGGCTTTCAATTCTAGAACCATAGATTTTCTAAGATCAATATTTTGGACAGGACTTACCTGATCAACTTCAATAAAGCCTTGCGCATGGGGCGAACGTGCTGTTCTCCACTTGGCAACAGCAATGCCCACAAAGATGGCAGCCATAAGAGCAATGCCAGCAAAGGACAAAGTGAAGTAGACATTGCGTCCCTCCTTATTCGCATGCGCAGATGAGGAATGAGAGTATTCTCTGCGCACAGAGAAGCTCTGTAAAGAAAAAGGATATGCTTTAGGTAAATAGGGGTACAGGGAGCGTACACGAAATACCGATTCGCGGTGGCCCAAATCGTGTGTCATGAAATGCTGGACAGAGGGTTCAGCTTCCTGATGGGCGACGGCAGCAACATCCTCGACAGCACGCTGAACGGCCTCGTCATCCACGGTGGGCAGGATGGTTTGGGTTTTGGTGCTGGAATTGTTAACGAAAATTAGATTTTTTCCTGCACATAAAATATGACTATCAACAAACCTGAGTGTGGCTTCAACATATTCCTCTGCTGCTGAATCCTTATCACTGTGGGCCATTTTTGTGGGATCAACCATGGCCTCGTCTTTGCTAGTCTTCGACTCCTCGCTGGTGAATGCCTGAGAATCCTGTTCGGCCTTGACCATATCGTCGACCTTTTTGGCTTCCAAGCGCAACTTCTCCTCGCGCAATTTCTCACGTTCGGCGGCCCGTTGTTCCTTGCGCTGCTTCTCGGCCAAACGCAAACGTTCCTTTTCAGCTACCTTGCGCTCGATTTCAATGCGATATTTATCTAAAATGGCAGCCTCTGCCTCTTCGCTCATGCCCAAAGAGGAGCCGGGGATGTCATCTTTGCTGCGCAAGGCCAAAATGTAATCGTTCATCAATTGGGAGATTTTGTTCGACAATTCGGGATAACGTTTGAGCATTGTCATCGATTGATTGACGGCACGATCGATATCGATGAGTCGTTCCAAAGTGCGTGGTCGTTCCGAGGCAGCAGCTTCCAAACCGCCAGCACCGCCGGAGTTCAACAAATGGCGATAGTGGGCCAAGGCATGGGCACGATCCTTGTGGAGAGCACGTAGAAGTTTCTGCAAGCATTTCTCGACGTGGTGAGCCTATGGAGAGAAATGGGAAAAATTCAGAATTTAGAAGAGACAATTTATAGGAATCGAAAGGGTTGTAAAAGCTCATTGGGATTGTGGGGGGCATTTTATTTTTACTTCACACACAACATATTATGACCCTCATGGAACTACTAATATTTTTGCGGATTTTCTTCACTTACGTTTGGTGGTTGCTCAGTCAAGGCCTGAGTATAGCAGGTCATGGCTTCACGTTTGCGCTGATTGATGTGGGCGAGAACACGCTGCTGATGCATGGCGGCCAATTGGTGTTTCTCAGCATTGCCTTCTTCTTCGAGTGCCTGAACAGAAGTCTAAAATTACATTCCCATATAAAGATATATTGCACATTTAAGAGAGAAAGAGTATCAGAATGATGTGTCGATATACTTCGGATTTCGATTAATGACTTGACTGGGTGATATAAAAATGTTGAAAGTTCTTATTTATTTTGTACCATCTACAAAAAAATATTGCATTGGATCGGATCGGATGGTCGGATAAGTATCTGGTGTGTTAATGTACTAATTAAGCAAAAAGATGAAAGCCTAAATCTCTAATCAAAGAAAAAAATATTCGGCATATCTACAGTGCAGGTTAGCGGGTTTTACTGTTTAGCTATAAAGCCTCTGGGTGGCGGGAGATTAGCTCTGACATGCTGAATTATGTTTTGTTGCTGTAACAAATTTGCAGTTTTAGGATGGACCAAAGTGTGAACTGAAAGTGCCGGGTTGGTGGTTGTGGTGGTGTTGTTGCCAAAAAAATTAAAGTGAATGAGAATTATCGTATACTTGAAGGTGAAAGTGTGATTGACGTGAAATGAAAGTGTTTGGGATAAACTGACATTTCGAGGGAGATTTAAAGGGGTTTATCAACTGTAGAAAGTCAAGAGTGGTGTTATTTATTTATTTTTGTAAGTGGTCCGTAAGACCTTTGGTAAGGTAAAAAAAGTAGAATGAATCAACGGAATTGGGCTTGAATCCTCGTGAGAGGAGTGACTAGCACTATATCGATAATGGATCAACTAAATATGGCCCTGTCTGAGTAGTCCTCGAAACGCTGGAAATTTGATAGATTTTATTCATGAATTCCGTCATGGATGATGATGCAAATATCATCAGAATGCGACACCATTTAGAGTATTGATGTAATATCAAAATTGATTTTGGAGCAACTCTTAGCCGTCCGAATAGTTCCCAATGGTTGAAAGAGGGACGATGTCCAATCTTTTATATTCAAGCCAAAATTAACTATAGAATTGTAATAGGCGAGCACAATTTGAACATCCAAATCCTTTCTGAGCCATTGAAAGAAGAATGGTCGAATGAATGTATCATTTAACGGAGCAAAGGTGACAGGTTCGAAAATAGGGACTTATTTTTATAGTATTAGAAGTATTATTTATATAAGTACGGTATCTCCTATATCAGGTCCTGGATGATGTATTTATGAGGAGTAAAGTTTACGAAAATAGTTTCTAGCCATCTTCACGGTGTCCTATTCTTTGAAAATGGAGAGGGTAGCCCAGCTTCTGAATCCATGCAAAGATGCCAAGAAAGGAGACAAGTAAAAAACAAAAGAAAGTTCTTGGCGCTATTAAAGAAAAAAACAAACAAAAAATAGTTTTTAGGCATTTTTCCTCAACATGTAACATGTTTTATAACCGGTTTATCGATCTTTGGTCAAAGAAGGTGAACTAGTTATCCAAAAACGTTCTTTTGGTTCATTATAGAGAGATAAGCACCGACCGAACTTTAGTGAATGCGAAATAAGCACCCGATTCTCTTCAAATCTCACACATCTCAATATTTTTGTCAACACAAGATGTAGTGTGGAATATGTGGGTTCACTCGTTGAGGTACCTCCCCACAAAGGGTCAACATTTTAAATAATCGTCTCTATTATAAAATATGAAATAAGAGTCCCATGACCTTCAAATGTCGCACATCTTAATTATTTTACCTGCACAAGATCTGGTATCAAAGACGGTTAGAAGGTTCAAAATTTTGAATAACTAATACGCTCATAAATAGCCAAAAGAGCAACCGATTCTTTTCAAACGTTGCACATCCGTGTATTTCCACCAACACAATATCTATTGGTCCTCTATTTAAGGTACGTCGGGCCTTAATTTTGAATGACCTTGAAGCTCATAAAATGCTAAATGAACATTCGATTTCTTTCAAACTCGTCATATCAAAATATTTCTATAAACACTAGATCCGTTGTGAAGATGCTAGAATCGCAGCATAAAATTCTATGTCGATTTAGCAATGTCCGTCCGTCTGTCCGTCTATCCGTCTGTGGAAATCACTCTAGCTTCCGAACGAATTGAAGTAGATTGATAAAATTTTACTCAAATTTATATTATGTCTGCAGAACTTTTGGTATTTAAAATGGGACATGTAGGTCCACGTTTTAGTATAGCCCCCATATAACGGTACCTCCCGATATTCGGTACTTTGATGATTTTAGCGACATTTTTTCACCGGAATTGTTTCAAATTTGGTATTTAAAGTTCGTAAAGGATATTACAGCTTAAGACAGAAAATTGTCTGTGCCGGTCCACGTCTTCGTATAGCCCCATATAACGGTACCTCCCGATATTCGGTATTTTCTTGTTTTTAGAGACATTATTCACTGGAATTGTTTCAAATTTGGTATTTGAAGTTCGTAATGGATACTACAGCCTAAGATAAAAAAATTATCTGTGCCGGTCCACGTCTTCATATAGCCCCCATATACCGTACCCCCCGATATTCGGTATTTTGATGATTTTAGCGACATTATTTACCGGGATTGTTTCAAATTTCGCATGTGAAGGTCATAATGGATACTTCAGCCCATGCCAGAAAATTGTCTGTGCAGGTTCACGTCTTCCAATAGCCAAAATATAACGGTACCCCCCCCCCCCCCTATTTTCGGTATTTTGATGATTTTAGCTACATTATAAACAGATTTTTCTTCAAGTTTCGCATTTAAATATTGTAATAACTTATGACAAAAGTTGCCTATGCAGGCCCACGTCGTCGTATAAGCATTCGGTATTTTTAAGATTTTAACAGCATTTTTAACGGATTTTATTTTTTTTTTTTTTTGGAAATTGCCAAATTTGTACCAAATGGTGGAAAGTATTAAAAGTTCGGCCCGGCCGAACTAACAGCTTTTTAACTTGTTAAGTTTCGCATTTGAATATTGCAATGGCTTATGATAAAAGTTGCCTATGCAGGTCCACGACCCCAATATAACGGCTATATTCGGTATTTTTAAGATCTTAACAGAATTTTTGGCGAATGTAATTTGTTTGAAAATTTCTATATTCGTTCCAAATGGTGGAGGGTATTCAAAGTTCGGCCCTGCCGATCTTACAGCTTTTTTACTTGTTTTATCATACCTTTTTGGTTATTCATGGCTATCTTGCAGATACTGACATCTTCTACTGTTTTCAAATCCTTTTGCGAATTATTATTACATTCCGACTGCCATCAATGACAAACTATTCCGCACGCCTTTAAGAATTTCTCTCCTCCACCCAGTTACCAACTACTCGCGCCACTTATAAAATATCTTGTAATCCCATTTTAAGCATCATAATTCCACCTAAAGGATGCCACCCAGAGATTTGCAAAAGGATAACCGATTTTCGCTTTAAGCTGCTCAAAACCGACTAACCTACTAAAGATGCAATTTTATACAAATATATATATATTCACGTTAATAATTTACATTTAGTGGGTTATTTTGCTTGCTTTTCTGACAGTGGATATGTATTCATAAATATGTATACGAGTATGTATGTATGTATGTGTGTGTGTGTGTTTATATTTACGTCTGAGTTTTAGTAGAAAAAGGCGATAAAGCTTTCTAAGAAATTTATTAACAATCTGATTACTAGCCAATTTATAGAGCCTTATTTGCAGCTGTTCATTAGGTATTATCTAAAATGATTATGAATTTATGTTTATGCGTATGGACGTGTGAGTGAGTGTGTGTGTGTGTACGAGTATGTGTATATGTGTGTATGTATTTGTATATCACCATACTACAAACAAAAAGCGTCATATCTGATGATTCTTTCGCTCCCATTATTATGCACAACTACAAACTAAACTAAAGAAAAACAAAAACAACCAATGAATAAGCAATAACAACAACAACAGCAACAATAGCAAGAACAATAATTATGATTATAATGATAATAAGGAGGATAGGAATAAGGATATTCTAATGGAAATAAGAAATGACAATAGCTAACAGCAAAATTGAAATAGAGTTGAAACCGGGAGGGAGGCAAACAAAAAAAAAAAAAAGAGAAGAACTCAAAATCCAAGGATAATGAAAATGAATGACACGAGAAGGAGGGAAAAAGCTAATGGAAAACTTAATCGAACTGAAATTGATTAACAACGAATGAGAAAAGTTATTAACATGAAACAAAAACCAAATAAGCCAAAGACGAAGAGAAAATATACAAAATGTACTAGGAGAGAGATAGATTAAGATTGAGAGAGAGAGAGAGTTGGAGGGATGAGTGCAACTTAAAATGAACCAAAGAAAATTGAGCGCTGCGAAATTCTTCTCCACCTACCTGGAAACGAGCTGTCATTCTCTGCTTGAAACTCTGGGCAGCCTTGGGATCGGCCAAACGCATATCCTGATATTTCTCCTCCAAATCGGACCAGTCCTTCATCACACGGGTCACCTTTTCACGGTGCGATTCCTCGAGGCGCTGTTGGGCTTCCTTTTTTTAGAATTTATTTGGTTTTGATAAATAAGATGCCTAAGCATGTGAAAACACTTACTTTTTGACTTACTTTGTAGCTCTGGTGTTCATAGTGTGGATCGAAGTGGGTGAAATAGGGATCGGGTGTGGGTTGGCCGGTTGTGGGTGGCATTGGCAGATCACCGTTGTTGTTGTTGCCGCCGCCGCTATTCTTGCCATCTAACATCGATCCACCGGCCTTTTCCATATCCTTCGAATTTGTGGGTTTGTTCGATGGTTTGGCACCACTTGAGCTACCTTGTTGATCGTATGTCGTATCAACGGGATCCTCTTCGTAATTATCCTCACCCGAATCGTATTCAGCATTGACATCATCGCCAGTGGCAGTAGCATCATCGGCAGCCATTTCATCTTCCTCATCATCGGCCAACAAATCATCCTCATCATCTTCGTCTTCGATATCGTCGGCGGTATCCTTCGAGTAGTTGGAATCATTGTCATCACTGCTGATATCATCGAGATCATCAGTCATGGGATTGGGCATTTCCACGGGTGGCATAACAGGCAAATCGGTTTTCTTTACACGAATTTCATCGGCTGGAAATAAAAATCCGAATAAAGTAAACCCATATGTTAGAAAAAGTGAAATGGATTCAATTGTATGTATGGAGGACTAAAAGGCAGCAAGAAGTCCATGTGACCCCTCTCTGTGAGTTGGGATCAAGCACATCTCAGAAGAAGCAATTCTGAATCTGTAGAGAATGTTGGGTAGCTCAATACAAATTAAGGTTTCTCTCAAACCGTCGGTAACAAAAGGTTGTAATTCTGGAAGATCTCGGTCGATCAACGAAAAATACTGACCTTTCTTATAAGAGTGTTAAAATAAATGAGAGAAAAGAAGATGTCATAGTCTCGAATTGTGAAACAAAGTTCGAAAAGGTGCTTGGATAAAATGTGCTTAACGTAGAATAAAATAATTGAAAATAGATTTTGAAAATAGTCGATAGAAGAGTTAAACGAAAGTGGCATTTGGAAAATATAGGATTATGGGCTGAATAGGTTTGGCTTTATAAAAAGTGAGTAGAAGAAAAATGAAGAAAGGTAAGAAAGTAGATAAGAAGTGAGATAGAAGTAAAATGGATTATTTTCCCTTTAAATTTTTTAGATCCTTCAGATTGTGTTCTCTATAGAGGAAAAACATGGTTTTAGTACTGAAGATGGGGGTTTCAAGACCAAGTTCCACATTATGTTAGAGTCATATATAAAGTGATCTTTTAACAATTTAAAATGAACACTTTTGTTGCAGACTTTTAGGCGCGCTCAATAATCCTTAAACTTAAATGAAACGCTATTTTTTAAAGTGTACAAGGTGAGATGAAAAAACTGCCACTCGTCCGACAGCAGTTAAAATTTTTCCAGTTACAGCTTAATATATTGTTTACAAGCGTACAAACGCATGTCGGAGAGAATTTTCCAGAAAAAAAGTTATTCGTGATGGAATTCAAGCGTGATAGCGTGATTTCTTTATATTTGGCTGGAAGACCACAAGTGCCTATCGTTAGAGCACTCCAGCTCGTCACCGACGTCAAGGAGGTGGACGGAAGAAAACAGTAAAATCAGCAGAAATGATTTGAAAAGTAAAGAAGCGACTTGACCGAAACCTGCGTCGCAGTGGCCGAAAAATGGCTCGTGAGCTGAACATATTGCAATATTCCATTCCCCAAATATTGAAAAATGAGCTCGGGATAAAGCCATCGAAATTCCAAAATGTGGACTCAAAAGAGCTAAAGAGTTGGTTGCTTCGCTTGGCCGAAAGAGGTGAGCTGCGGAATTCGGTTTTCTCCGATGAGAAAACATTCGGTGCCCAGCAGTTTGTAAGCAGACAAAATGATCATGTTTACTTGCCAAAGAGGTGCACCTTCGGTTGGCCACCAGAACTCATGCGCAAGCGCCGGTCATGGTGATGGTGTGGGCCGCCATAACAGCCGATGGTCGCTCTCCACTCGTATTAATCGACACAGAATAAATGCCGAGTATTATAGAGAAAATATTCTGGAGGGTGTATTAAAGCCTTGGGTATACAAACACTTTGGCCGCAGACCTTGGACATTCCAAAAGGACAGCAGCGTGTGACGGTTTCATTGACCATTTGAAGGCCATAATTCGTGCCAAAGGTGATCAATTCCAAAAAAATCTGAACTTATTCCAAAATTTGAAGCTATTTCCGACATTTTTTTAAATTTATTCAATAAAATTAAAAAAGTATATAAAAATTATGGCGTTTGACTTTGTTACAGTTTTTTTCTCACCCTGTATTTCTCCCCAGAAAGACGCTGAAGGCGTTTAGTGAAATATGTTCACTAAACTCTAAAATGATGCAAAATTTGGAGTTGAAAGTTTGATGATGATGATGATGGCTGCACCAAAACCTATGGATGTCTATTCTGGTTGGACTTCGAACTCCACACAAACGTTCGTTCGATAACAAAAAGATTATTTCAGCAACAATGCAGAATTTTATAAAAGTAGAGTTTAAAATGGAGGATACGTATATCGGCGTTTTGCAAAGTTATCTATGTAAACAGGCACATTCCCCCGCTTTTACATTTTTTTGATAATTTCAGATTATGGCTAAATCTTTATATTTTAGGAATAAAGCGTCTTCGACAATATTAGAGACAACAACACGTGGATTATTTTGGTCCTGAAGTGAATCATCAAAGAGAGGTTTTTTGTCCTTTTATCGAAATATCGTACCAAATCAAAATATTCGTTATATCGATACATTTTTTAGATTTTTAATTTTGCGCTATTGAATTCAGAGTTGGATTTTTAAAAATGTTGGAATGTTGTTGGAAAGAAAATGTCGATATAATTTGTGGTTTCATCGATTCTACATAAATGAACATTACTAATTCAAAGTCAGTGTTCTGAATACAAAGGGAGTATAAGAAGCACGTACACACAATACATATATCAGTTCCGATTATTTTTTTATATATTATGACCTCCACCATATATTAAATTTGTCATTCCGTTTGTAACTCCTCGAATTACTCATTTCAGACACAACAAAGTATATATATTCTTGACCAGCGTAAAATTCTAAGTCGATTAAGCGATGTCCGTCCGTCTGTCTGTCCGGCTGTCTGTTGTAAACATACTTTCTTTCGAAAGAATTGAGATAGAAGGCTAAAATTTTGCACACATATTTATTTTGCCAGTAGGCAGTTTAAGTTGGTTTTGATATAGCCTCCCTAAAACGGTACCTCCCGATATTCGGTATTTTGATGATTTTAGCGACATTATTCACCGGAATTGTTTCAAATTTGGTATTTGAAGTTCGAAATGGATACTGCAGCCTAAGGCAGAAAATTGTCTGTGCAGGTCCACATCTTCGTATAGGGCCCATATAACGGTAACACCCCCCCATATTCGGTATTTTAATGATTTTAGCGACATTATTCACCGGAGTAGTTTCAAATTACGTATTTAGAGTTCGTAATGGGAACTACAGTCTGTGACAGAAAATTGTCTGTGCAGATCCAGGTCTTCGTATAGGCCCCATATGTCAGTACCTTCCTATATTTGGTATTTTGATGATTTTAGGTACAATTCTCACCGAAATTGTGAGAGATGTCGTATTTGAAGTTCGTAATGGATGCTACAGCCTGTGGCAGAAAATTGTCTTTGCAGGTTCACGTCTTCGTATAGCTCCGATATGACGTATAGCTCCCTATATACGGTATTTTTATGACATTAGCTACACTATTTTCCGTTTATTTCAAGTTTTGAATTTGAATATGGTAATGGCTTATGACAAACAATGCCTATGTAGGTCCACGTCTTATAGACCCCGATATATCGGCTATATTCGGTATTTTTCAGATTTTAACAGAATTTTTAACGGATTTTTTTTTTTTTTTTTTTGAAATTTTCCAAATTTGTTCCGTATGGTGGAGGGTATTTAAAGTTCGGCCCGGCCGAACTTACTGCTTTTTTACTTGTTTTCTTATATGTATAGAAACGAGGCTTCGAAGGGATTTCCCTATATAGTAAAAAATTAGTTATAATGCAAATCTTTTGTCCTTTCATAAGAAAGTCATTGTGGTACTACATATAAAAAGCTAATACTTAAACATTTTTGAGAAACTCCTCCCACCAGAAAAAAAGAATCATGAACCCAAAATCTGTTATCTCTGCAATTAGGAACTCAATTTTTATAGAAGGGACATTTCTGGCAATTATTCCTTTTTCGTACATAAGGATAAAAGTACTCGAAGAAGAGACATATCACGAATAGAAAGGCAAACTTTGACAAAGGCGAATTTCGAAACTGTAAAGAATGCGCTAACAAATATTGCTATTTTTAAAAGGAAAGAGGAAGTTCAGACGTAAATAATTTTTCCTCTTTCAACTGAAACCAAGAACAATCTTCCTTTCTCTTTAGGATAAAATAGGGACCTTACTTGGATTATCTCATGTTTTGCTTTAAAAAGAAGAATGAGGCCACTCTGAGCTCTTAAATCTCGCTTTTTCAGAGAGGAGGGAAATTAGAAATTGTAAGAATTTCAGGGAAGCACAGGCTTTATAGCCTGTAACGAAAAAACCACGAGTATCTACACCTATATAGAGATAGAGAGACCTCGAACGAAGGGGTTTCTTTTCCCGTATGGCAACAGAGAGAGAGACGAATTTCAAAATTGGAAAAGAATGTGCTAACAAAGATTGTTTTATTTATGAGACCACAAATATTTCTACAAAAAAGTTCGTTTTCATAAATGTTTCTTTCTTCTCAATATAGATACGAGGGGGTACCAGACCCTTTTCAGCTTTTCTCTAAATGAAAATCAATTTTTCCACCTTTCTTATGGAGTCTTTTAACATTCTATAATTCAGGTAATATCGTTTTTACGGGATCTAAGAAAAGGTAAACTTCGACACTTTATGAGATCAAAAATATTTCTAAAAAAGCTGATTTTTTACATGGGTTTCCAAATCTTGGTATGAGGAAGATAAGAAAGGAAAAATTTGAAATATTGGGGGTAATATTTCAGGTAATTTAAACTAGGGAGTTTCTCTAACTGAAAATCTATTTTTCTAGTTTTGAGGAAGAAAAATGGGCTTTAGATTACGTGCCCATATTTCATTCCATTAGCTTCAGATTTTAGAAAGGTTCCTATTATTGGAAGGATATTTGGGAAGTCTTTCCACATTCTAGTTGATCACATTTTCTATACAGGAACATTGCAGTTAAAAAATGTTCGCATTTTTTCCTTAATTTAAAACTTTTCATTTTGTTAACTTGTTTAAACCAACAATTGATCATTTGGAGGTTTTCACAACTTCTAATGAATGATGCTTCCACATAAAGCTAGCAAATACATTCATGTACAATACAGAGGATACACAGGAGAAGCCGAGTTTATATATGGCAAGGGGGGAAATGATGGCATTATTTACTTGTTCTTGGACATGGCATATTGGTTTCTACTCACTTTTGAAATGTTTGGGACAGCACACAAATTCAACACCCGAAAACAGGGAGATGCCACAGGGTAGCAACATGGCGAAGCTACGCATTTGCATGCCACGTTCTTGGCAGGCGGCAGCGCCGGTTTGATTCCACCTAACGAAGGGCCAGCAGCGTGAGGCATTGTGGATGTGATCGAAGAGGCAACCTTCGGGTACCAAGAGTGCATCCGATTGGAAGGGTCCTTCTGAAAGTAATACACACACCCATATAAACATCAAATCGTAAACAAATCACTTACATTGTTCGACGGGCAGGTGGGGATAGGCTTTGATTTTTTTTTTTTTGCCATTTATTCTCTGATTCGATTTGTTTTAATAATGCCAGTCTGGGGACACAGGGCATACCACCATGCCAGGCATTCAATAATTCTCTTTTAATGAACAATGTCCAAAGGCACACACACACACACGCACACGCACAAATCCCAGATATATGTATGTATGCATGTAGCCCCTCCTAACACAACAATGTAACATTCACAATGAATTGGACTTACCCAAGCAACGGAATGGCTTAATCCAACGATGGGCTCCCTTGCACTTGTTGGCATTCAAAGCTCCCTGACGACACCAGCCGCCAATTTTCTGATAGTGTGATGACTCCACAATATTGGTGATATCTCTGTTGGGATAAGCCTGCAATGGAGTAGAAACAAAAAGAGAACAAAAACATTGGTGAGTGAGAGAGAGTATGGATGCTGGTGATGTGTTTATTTTTGGAAAAATTTTGCTGCATAGCATGGGGCGCTAAATAACAGCACTGCCAATATGTTTGCATGTATTAGGACGGGCGGTCGGACGGACGCTTTAGTTGTAAATGGAGCGGAACAAATCGATTTCCATGCATAGTCTCGCAGGTTGTTATTATGTAGCCCTAAAAAAAAAATTGAATATGTCTGTCGAACACATCCACTGCAGTGCAACTGACCATGAGGTGCCTCTGCTCGCATGGGATTTTTGGACAGAGTTTTTAGTTTGTACCAAAAATCTAGCTGCAATGTATTGCATATTTTTTTTGGGGGGGGTTCTTTCTTTCTTTGGCAACATTCAACAGCGAAAAATGATGGCTCCTAACAGACTAGCCCGACTGATGGCTGGCCATGCATTGTTTACAGAGTTTCATTCGTTCAACAACAAAAGCCCAACTAAATTGAGTTTGGATTTTGGACTGTCAGAGGTTTATGCAGATTTTTTGTTTCTGCGTTTTTGTTTTCTTTGTAATGGGAAAAGCAATAACAATACTTGTATGGGCTTTGTGATCGATTTGAAACAAAAACAAAAAAAAAAAAATGCCAATTTAAATATTGAAAAAATGTTTTTGTTTTTTTTTTTCAAAGGCACCATTTTCTTATCTGAGATTGGCAGTTAGGCGAAAGCTTACTTCAAATATTTGAATATCTGAAATAAAATTTTTGCTACGAAAATATTTAAGTTTAAGATTATGGAGAGTGTTATTTTAAATTAAAACAAGTAAAAAAACATTAAGTTTTGGCCGGGCCGAACATTTAATACCATACACCATTGGGTAAAGAAAATTTTTTTATATAAAAGTATTTGAATTCAAATGTGTTCCACTTTAAAGCACAAAAACCAGTAAGACCGGTAAAACCGTTAAACTTTTCGAAAAAATAAAAAAAGTGGGTGAGCCCATTATATTGGGGCCATACCAAAACGGGAACCTCCATGGACAATTTAATACTTCAAGGATTGCCATCTACCAAATCATCTTAAAAAAACAAATTTGAAACAGTTTCGTGGGTAACTGTGAATATGACTATAAAAGTACCAAGTATCGGTGGGTATCGTTATATGTGCGCTATAAGATAACGTGGCCCTAAATATTCAATGTTCTGCCACCGGAGCTAGAACCCATTATGAGCTCTAAATACCAAATATTAAACAAATTCGTGGAAAAATGTGGCGAAAATCATCCAAATACTGAATATCGGGAGGTACCATTATATGGGGGCTATACAAAAACGCGAATATACACACATAATCTTTCGTCACCGGAGCTAGAACCCTTTATGACCTACAAAATAGATAAATCCGTGGAAAAATGTTACAAAAATCATCAAAACGCCGATATATAATATGTTTCGCCACCAGAACTATGGGTTCTAGTTCTACAAATTACGAACTACAAATACCAATTTTTTTGAAAAATGAGGCGAAAATAATCAAAATATCGAAAATCGGGAGGTACCATCAATACCAACCATCCTAGAATCAATAGACATTGTTCTGCCAAATTTTGAAGCTCTACGTCAAATAATGTGGGCTGTATCGTGATTTCAACGGACGGACAGACAGACAGTCGGACATCGTTAAATCAACTTAGAATTTTATTCTGATCATAAATATGTATATACTACGACGAATATTTAGGGATGTTGCAAATGACAAAGTTAATATACCCTCCTTTTCAAGGTGGAGGGTATAAAATAGGAAGCTAAACCTATAGTCACTTTTTCCCCTATATGAGAAAACAGATAGTTCTGACGTAAAAATTTTTTCCTCCTTCGTCCGATTTGCCTTTTATTGTGTACCAAACGTGTAATATCAGCCCGAATAGTATGGAATTTTGCACATACAACCAAATTAAGCCTGAAAATAAGTATGCCAAATTTGATCGAAATCGGTTCAGATATAGCTATAGCTCCCATAAATATTGTTCATCCTATTTGTTATTTCTGTCCTCCGCAGCCGTAATATGCACTCCGCAACAACGATGTTCAGGGAAATATATCAAATACAGCTCAGAAATATCTTTGACAAATTTTATCGAAATAGGTTCAGATTTGGATATAGCTCCTATATATATCTTTATCTGATTTCAAATTAATTTTGCACCAAATGGACAATACAAGTCCGAATTTAAAAGATACAAATGCTTCGGCATATTTAGTCTCCCATAAAACTCTTTAATCGTTATGTGGAGCTCAACTAAATTAGCAAAGTGGTGTAGGGTATCATAAAATCGGCCCGCCCGACTTTAGTACTTTCTTTACTTGTTTTATATAAAGAAGAATGAGGGCACTCTGACCTCTTAACAAAGTAAATTAGAGACTTCTAAGTAATGTCGATACGCTCCTTTTCAGCGATACCTTCTTTTTTTTCATGGAACAAAGAAGAAAATTTTAACAAACTATTTTCTTTAACTCATTTTTTTGGGAAGACCAGTTTCTGTTACAAGATTCCAAAATATGGAAAATGAGACGAATTTGAAATGGTAAGAATTTCAGGGAAGGACAGGCCTTTATAGTATATAACGAAAAGGAGACATCTCATGCCTTTCTACACCTATATAGAGAAAGAGAGGCTTCGGACGAAGGGGTTTCTTGCTCCGTACTGCTAAAGAGAGACTTCTGGATAAGGTTTATTCTCTTTTGTTATACGAATGAGAGATTTCCTTTAAATTCTTCATATTTGAAAGAGAGGGGTTTTTTCTCTCCCAAATAATCAAAGATAAGAAATTATCCTGTATAGGAAAGAGAGAGAGAGAGAGAGACTACTATTTTTTCACAAAGGCCAGTCTAATGCTGTATGGAAAAACACACATCTTAATAAGAGAGAGAAAAAAAGAGAGCCTTCCGATGAAAAGTGTTTACTCCATGTATAGAGAAAGAGGGGTTTTGGAACATTAATTTACTTTCGAAGACATTTACCAAAGAGAGATTTCCTTTAAAGTCCTAACATTTTAAATAAAGGGGGTTTTTTCCCAAATAATCAAAGATACGAAATTCTCCTGTATAGGAAAGAGAGACCAAAGGCCAGTCTAATGCTGTATGGAAAAACACACATCTTAATAAGAGAGAGAAAAAAAAAGAGAGCCTTCCGATGAAAAGTGTTTACTCCATGTATAGAGAAAGAGGGGTTTTGGAACATTAATTTACTTTCGAAGACATTTACCAAAGAGAGATTTTCTTTAAAGTCCTAACATTTTAAATAAAAGGGGTTTTTTCCCAAATAATCAAAGATACGAAATTCTCCTGTATAGGAAAGAGAGGCCAAAGGCCAGTCTAACGCTGTATGGAAAAACACACATCTTAATGAGAGAGAGAGAGAGAGAGAGAGAAAGAAAGAAAAAAAGAGAGCCTTCCCATGAAAAGTGTTTACCCCATGTATAGAGAAGGAAGGGTTTTGTAACATAAACTTACTTTCGAAGACATTTACCAAAGATCTTTAAGATTTCACCCTCAAATTCCTAGAATTCGAGTACCGAATACTGTATGTATTTTGTACAAAATATTTTTCATAAACTTTAAATATGAATTTTCAAAACAGAATATTATCTCAATATTTTTTACCAGCAGTTGAATCATGTACAGGGTTGCCCATATTCGACGGACCCATCTGGCAACGCCATAACTTTGACAGAGATGTCGCTTCGTTTAATGACATACCGCGTTTGAAGCATCAGTCCAAGCAGATTTTTACCATGAACCAATACACGCCACGCGAGCGATCTGAAATTTACATTCAACAGAAGAAGTCAATTGTGAAAACTCAACGTGCTTTAAAACATTAAAAAATGTGAGAAGTGCGCCTTCTAAGAACACCATTAAGCGTTTATACGAAAAATTTTCGACTTGTAAGGCTCTTTCTAATCCGAAGAGGTCATATAAAAGTCGACCAAGGCGATCGGCCGAGAATATCGCTACCGTACGAGCCAGTGTTGAGAGGTCCCCAAGAACATCCCAAGAACGCCGTTCTCAGCCGTTGGGCATGGCTCGGTCTACTTTATAACGGATTATTCGCATTGATTTGCATTTGTTCCCGTACAAAATTCAATTGACGCATAGAATGTTGCCTGCGGACAAGCCTCGTCGATTGGAATGGGCCTAAAGGGCCCAAAGGTCCTTCGAATATGGGCAACCCTGTATGGTATGTATTTTCAATCTTACATTGAATTGCAATACTAAATTTAACAAATATAGATATATTTATTACTTTTCGTACACATATGGTACGGATTTTCCGAAATTCTTTCTGCTTACCATTCTGTTTTAGAAAAAATATCGTACACATGCCCCACAGCATAAATGACAGCCATTTTGTCCCCATTCCATTTGACTTTCTAAATGTAACTACCTTCATGACATGATTACACCATTTTATTCATTATCCATATCAAATGTTAATGTCATTGGTATTTAACCGACCATCCGTATCATTCAATATAAATTGTAGTACAACCCTTCTACTTGTTCACATTACCTGTCTGCATTGAGAGAAGCTTCAAGGCAGTGTCCTTTGAACTTTAGAACAAATTTTATGGCCCAAAACATTTTCATGTTAATTACATTTTCTTTCTCTTCGTCTTGGATTCATCGACTTCAGACTAATAAAATTTAAGTCTTTTGTAAGAGAGTTGTGGCTGTATTGGTTTCTTTGTAAACGACCATCCAATCCAACATGCTCTTCTACAACAGGGTTTCGAATACGATACATACCCGTACATACGGCAAGTGATTGCTTTCAGACATTTACAATTTCATTAGGTTATTTATACAAGATGGGATTTTTGCTACGAAAAGTAATTTCATTAAGCCTCAAATGTAGGAAGATTTCTGATTTTTCAAAAATGGGTAGAGTGTTTGGCAACGACATGGCCCAGGCCAGACCATGCCCAC